TTATTTTGCATATGGGTTGGCTTTTGTTTATTGGACTTTATTTTTTTAATAACAATATATGTATCAAATATTAATGTTAAAGTACCTGAATCTGTAGTTTCAGCAAATTTTTTTGTATTGTCATTACTTTTTGGGGGGGATTTTATTGACATAGACAGTGATAGAGTGACAGGAAAGGAAGGAGAGAGAGGATGACACACAGCAAAGGGCCCCAGGTCGGAGTCGAACCCATAGCCGCTGCAGCCAGGACTCAGCCTTAGTACATGGGGCTACCAGGTGAGCTACCAGGGCGCTTCAAGGCCCTCAGCGTTACTGTTTTGGTTCAGTCCCACTGCTCTCATTGCAGTGCAGCAGGCAGCTGTTTTTTTTAGAGAAAAATCTCACTGTACACCCACTGTACACTTACTGCTCAGCAAAAAATAGCAAAGACACAGCTAGAAACTAGCTGGGGAACATATTGGAACATTAAGCAGTCAAAAAAACAGATAGTCCCCTTAGAGGACGTTGGTAGAGACCAAAAACAGAGTTCCAAATGACTGATCCTTTTTTTCTGTAACTGGTGGATCTGTAAATAAGCAACTGATTACTAACAACATGCAGTTATTGCTGGTTTAAAGACTAATTGAACATTTTCAAACCATGGAGGCTGCACAACGAGCACCAGTATGCAAAACTAACTGCCCATATTTTCTTTGCTACTCCTCAACTCTCAACATGCAAGTAACCTTTACAGTACACATAACTAGGGTTTTGGGTGTCACCAAAGTGGTCCAAGACCCCCTTATTTTGCACACTGGCTGCATTTCTCGTGTTCTAGCTCCAGGTCCCTGCTATTGTCCATGTTTGCTCACTGGCATTATTTACAGACACTCAAATGGAACAGAGTCCTTTTTTTTTTATTAGTTGCACTTGTGCATTTCCTGCTATGAAAAGTGTAAATAATTCACTAAAAGTTACAAAAATAAGGGATATTTGATTGTTTGTGAACGCCCACCCACCATCGTACCATGGTGTCTCTCTGAAGTCACTCCACTGTTTCTCAGTGGCATCCTGCAGATTATAGTCTTGGCTCTTTTGTTTCAAGCTTTGGAGAGATTTACTGCTCGCTAATCCATGGACCGCCCAAGGTCATAAGAAACACATATACATGTGCTTTTCTTTTTATAGGGTAGATTTTCTTTTTTTTTTTTTAAAAACTATACACCGTGGGGAGCCAAATTCTCACACTTTTCATCTTAAGAAAGCTTCGTTCTGCCGTTATGCATTCACCCTTTCTGAACAAATTGTTCCCTTCTGTCATAACACATTTTAATGTAAATTTGTGCAACACGGGCAGACTGACAGTGAGGCCCAATGAGAGCATACACAGACACACATGTTGGTTTGGCACACTTCTGGGGGCACGGACCATAACAACTAAAAACAAAATCAGAACAAAAAAAAACTAACTTTAACCAAACCCCATTAAAAAAAGAAGTCCTTATAACTCCAGCCAGTTATCTGGTGTGTATCCAATATTGTCTCTGAATATGGCTCTTGTGATGAACACACACACACACACACACACACACACACACAAAGCTTCTGGTTCTGTTTCACAGCTAGCTGTCCAGTGTCATAACTCTCCAGTCTGTCCTGTCACTTTCTATTGGATCTAATAATACAGAAAGTATTACTGACAACGGTGTCTAAAAATACTGTACGACTTCCATCAGAATTAGGTAAGTTTCAGCTTTAAAATGGGATTCAGACAGCACACTACCTTAATACGGGTTGAAGACTACTTTTGTTTTTGACAAATGAACGTGTAAGAAATGTCCATATATGAGGAATCCGCTGCTGTTACCGACTGTGATATTTAATGAGTTTTGATAACTGGTTTAAACAGAGCTTTGGTACATGTCAAGAGTTTTTTAATCCATTTTGCCATAATACATGAAACTCCTCTGCTGGTTGACTGTTATATGACTGGTAGTGCCTGTGCTAGAGGATGGGGCTTAATGTTGTTTCACTGACTTTATTATCCACAAAACTAAAAAGGCAAAAAGAAGAATTGTATGCAGTAGTCTCAATTGGGCACAGTTTGAGGTTATTTAAACTCTATTGGTTAATATTTAAAGGATAACTGTTTAATTTCTAACCAATCTTAAAGTGGGGTTCTTGTTAAAAAATATCTAAGGTTTTATTTCATACCGGATAGCACAGTGATCTCTTTCTGAACCTTTATATGTTTTATAGAAATTATACAATATTTACATCTCACTGACTGCAGAAATCCTGAGAATCCAGACATTTCTGGTCCATATATTTTTTCAATTAAGACTTCCTGATGACCTTATGTAATCAGTAGTAAATGTAACCTGCTGTCTCCCCGCACACTCCCGCAGGGACACCCAATTGGCAGCGGGAGCTTTGTCAGAAAACCCAACTCAGTCGTTCTGAAAATCATTAGACTCATTTAATTACGAATCGTGAAATTTTAAACCAAATGTGTTCACACTCAAGTAATTTTTATCTTCTACGTAGCTCAATTAAAAAAACTTTGCAATGCACATGAAGAGGGGGTTTTTAAATCACTAATTAGCCCTCTTCCTTTTTTATTTCGTTAATTAGTTGATTGGCTCGATTGGACAGTCTGTTGGACAATTCAAGTGCCTGCTTTCTAAGACGGGCTATGCTTGTTTTTAAATCTTTCAGTTCAATGCACCATATCAATCCTAGTCCTTACCGTTCGACCGTCTGACAATATTTTCCAAAAAAGTATTCTGAGGGGCCACAAGTCCCCTCCGACCCCCCGCCATCCTGCCTCCTCACTCAGGCGTCCGCAGGTGAATCTTTACTCCTCGGTCTGCCGCCCGTCTTCATGGTGTCTCTCCGGCTCTGAGACGCTGCGTGGATTTTCTTGGAGAGGAGCTGTTTGTCTGGTCTGCTCATCAGCCGCCTCCTCTGCCCGGTGCGGTGCGCTGGCGCCTCTTTGGTGAGGCACGCACCTCATTATCCAGGAGACGAAAACAACGCACGGACTCACCGCACAGGAGGGGCCGCGGCTCTGCTCCTCCGCACGCATCACTGACAGGGCCTGCAGCGCCATCTGCTGGACGAAACCATGTGAGCAAAAACTCCAGTAGCCTACTTTTATTTATTAATTTATTTTACATGTTTGAGGTAGTTGTTTTATTTCATTTACTGCCACTTTATACTTTTGCTCCACTCTAATTCTAGAGGGGGGGTATTGTGCTTTTTACTGCACTACATTTGTTTTACAGATACAGTTTAAAACACAAGCTTCAGCAAATGTGACAATGTTGTTTTTATAAAATGTACCTAGTGCAGCTTTATAGATCTCACAACCCCTCAGATTTAGTTTGGTAGGGCAGGGCACCTTAAGCAGCTACAACAGTAAAAAGCTGCTGCTTACACATGGATGCATTCACACAGTAATTTATCAATCAAGGGCTATTGTTCTACAGAAGCACTTTGATACTTTAAATATCTACATTTTGCTGATAAAATATCTGTATTTTTACTTGAGTAGGATCTTGAATCAAAGAGAGAAATGTTAAGATTGTTTAACTGTCATTTCCCTATAAAACGATTTTATAATTCTACTTGTCAAGATCATCTCCTTTATTTCTGTTAGTAGTTTTCTTTAAGAATTTGGGCTTGTAATATTCAGCACATTTAAACAGTTTGAACTGTGTAACCGAAATGAGAAAAACTGTGGGGAAAGCTTCCTGCAGTCGACCCAGGAGGGTTCTGGTTAGTTAGTTTTTTATGGATTAATCGCTTAGAGTCAGGTTCTTGAAATTGGTGGCCTCTCCAATAGTGACCTAGTCAAATTGACTTTTGAGCCCGCATGTGAATTTTTTTTCCTGAGCTTTTGCCAGTAGAAATTAGCCCCTTTTCACAGTACTACCATTTTTTAAACCTACTAGCTCATTTTTATATATATCGTTTCAAGGTTTGTTAATGTTGGACTCCTGGCCGTGCTAAAAAACCTAATACAGAGCCTCAATTTTAATTGCTTCTAGTGGCTTACATTTTTCGTACTAAAGCTTATTCCTGAATTACAGACAGAGTTTTTTCAATCACAAATCATGCTATTGAAAGGTTTCTCACACCTGTGGAGCCCAGAGGTCAGCTGCTTCTCTATCCTCACAGTTTGTTCATTGGGTTCACCTGTTGTCACAGGTGTAAATCAGACTGGAAGGTTAATGTGGAAACAGCAGGATACTGACTGAATATCAGTTTTATGTTTAACCAATTAAAAGGTTATACATCTTCTAATCTAATTTCTTTTAAGTACATCAGAGTGTGTTATAAACCAATTATGGAATGTGTGTGTATACTTCTTATAAATGCTAGGCTAATGCTTTGCTTTATGGTGCACACACACCTTCCAGCTTTTTAATAACCTCCTTTGACCCATACTTACTATGCTACTGATCACCTACTGGTTCTTCTTGTAGTAATGCATTTGTGTAGGAGTGATAGAGGGTCATAATGGTAATAATTGTTATCAGACAAGTCATCAATACAGTATGTGAGGGTCAAACTCTTGCGCAATGGAACACCGAGTCAGAAATATAGCCTGACTGCCAGGTATTGTAATGTGAGCACAGCCTTTGTCTCAGACAGACGGGCAACAGAAACACTTAAAATGTCATTCACACAGCTCGCACTATGGCACAAATGTTACATTTTATGAATCCATTAATGAAGTGAGAGAGAGAGTGAACTCTGAAAATGTTTTGTAACTTCAAAAGGTTCAAAGGGATTAAATGTTTAATTCCAGCGACAATTGGGCTCAATGACAGTCACAACCCTTTAACACATGAAATGTAGAACAGTAGAACGCATTCAGTTATTTTATAGTGAAATTAACCCTTCGTAAAATTACATAATTTTGCCCCAACCTCCCCAAACAGTTTAAATAATTCCTCAAACATTTTCCTCATGGATTACTTCAGCAGATCATATAATTATGGAGAATTTATAACCAGTGGGAACCCCTGTAAGTATATTTTGTTAATGAGTGCTAAAAAAAGGACCCACAGATTGAACATTAAGCAGTTTTTATCCAAATGAGCAGCCCTGAATGTGGAGCAGCTTCAGTCCTGTTGCAGTGTGGATTCAGTCTGTGATACAGAACCACAAACAGCTCACAGATTTGTTAAAACAGTCTATTGTGGTCTCGCTGTACATTACTACACGTAATGAACCAGAGCTTTCTTGCACACGTCATCCTACGTTGTTACATTATAAGGACAGTCTTTGCACGTCATTTCTCTGCTCATATTAACTTCACCATGTCTTGGTGATTTTGAGATGACTCAGGTGATCTGTGATGTTTTTGTGTTCAGGGAATTTGGCAAATTTGGCCTCCTTGATCTTAAGCCAGTTCTGGGCTCTGCGCTCTGCGGCGTGGCCGTGCTCCTGCTCCGCAGTCATGTACGGCCGACTGATCCAGTATTCGTTCTCGGCCTCGCGCTCCAGATGGACCAGCGTATTGCGTTTCATCTGCCAGGTAATTTGCCGTGGACGCCGATACTTTCCGATCCACTGCTTCCCAGAGATTCCTTTCCGCAGCAGGGTGAGGGTGAGAAACATTGTGAAGAATAATTTCTGAAAAGCAAAATGGGTGTAAAAAACAAAAACAAAAAACAGGATCAGTGATTGCTCTGATGACAGTGTTACTGTTCATTCATGTTCAATAGAGGTATTGTGTGCTACTAATATCACCATTACAACAGTACAGAATTGTTCATTATTATAGGCATTTTGATTTGCCATAGGAAAAGCAAAAGGTGTTACTAGTAAAATTAACATCAGCTCTGTTGTATCCAAGTGTCTCAGTAACTGAAGCAGCTAAATTAAATCCTTATTGTATCAGTTAAACTCATGCTTTTCCTACTATGATGATGTTAAAGTGTCTTTTAAAAAAAGACCATCAAAAGGCCCTGCACACCCACACAGGTGTTATACGTTAGCTAGCT